GACGAAGTCATCGACGTGTATGCTTCTCGAACGTCATTTAGATCTAGCGTGGGGACAAATGGATACGAATCGCCCTGTCCTGTATTGACCACTCCTTCGACGGCCTCGGTGACATTCTCAACGGAGAGGCGCAGTCCATCTTGTGCTTGGGAGAGCAGAGAGAGGCACAATATGTGCTCGTGAGTCGAGACGCGCGCGGATTGACAAGCAAGCGTAATGATCTGCGATATTCGAAGAAGGAGGTCATTCACTCAAGCCACTCAAAACGCATCGATTCGCAAGTCGGCCCCATTTGGCAAGCCTGGCTTGGCCCGAAATCAATCTGCAGACTCTATTGCGTGCGCGGTGACGACTCATACCAGCGCAAGCACTCACAGCTTCTACAACCGACGCTCCTGCACCTGAGCTGCGCAGTATCCTGTTCATCTGTCCGATGGATATGCTCTCCTGCTCATCCGAGCTGCCAGCTTCACACCTCCTGCAAACCTGCCAGACCTGGCTGTAGATGTTGGGAAGCAGATCAAGCAGAGCACGTGGATCCGATGTCACCGGACTGCCGCTCCTCCCGGCGCCACTTGTCGGCTCGTCTAGCTTGACATTGTATGCGCGTGTGATGTGCCCGTTGGCACCCCACGGGTCTTCATCGTCTGAATCTCCCCCCTGCCCTGCTGCCTGACTAGGCCCAGGGCGAGAAAAATGAGACATGCTAGCGCGCAATCTTCAACAAGGTGGTGCAGAAGGCGAGCAGCAAGCTTCCGTATAGCTGATTGGTCAAAAAAAGGGGGGGGCTGTATGTGGGTGTGCGTTTCGTCTTTAGACGTGCGAATCGCGAGGGGCTCTTTGCTCTCGATGCGCGCTGATTGTGAGAGGTACTCTGTCGCACAACCTCCGAGAGGCGCAATGGTGAATGTGGCTGAGCTGGAGCGGGAGGGCGAGATGTGTAGAGGATGGCAAAGCTACAGTGGTGGAGCGTAGGACTTGCCAACCAGGCCGAGACTGGTGATTTGTTGTGTTGATTTAGGCATGACTTTGACTGCGCACCAAGATCAAGCTGTCAAGCTCAAGTTGTGATGGAGTGTGAGTGTGAGTGTGAGTGTGAGTGTGAGTGTGAGTGTGAGTGATCATTCAAGATTCAAGGTTCACCGCACATTCACAATTCACAATCATGAATTCAACATGAATCTCGAATTTGAATGAATCGCAGTCGTGAGTGGTCACATGCATGAGAGTGACATGCGGCGGAGCTATGCATGCTGTAAGGCGCGCCTTTTAGGAGTCCGTGCGTCTTTCGCGTCCCACTGCAGGCTGGCTATTTTGGACGACGGAGGTCCGGCGCTTGTTCTGAATCAAAATACGCAGGGGGGACGCGCGTGTACTTCAGCTGACGCGCGCCCGCCGCCGTTGCTCGCGAGAAGGCGCGCTAACTTTGAGGAAAAGCCCCTGAGTGCATACTTATGCTTGAGGATTGAATCGCGTGCGCGCGCGTCCACGCAGACGTCA